ATAACGCCTTGAAATTTATAAATCTCGGTACGGATCTCGCCGAATGAATGATATTTCGAGTTTCGCGATCGAACTCCTTTACTTCGTACAATACTTTCCAGGCTCTATTATATCCCTTTGGGATTCGACGCTCCCAATTTATATAACACTCGCCTAACGGGCACACGCAAATAATTTGCTGCAGGAACGCGCAGAAAATGCCCGCTCAAAACGACTCGTACAAGCTTGGCAATAACGTTCGCGTGCCAAAAGAACGGAGGAAAAAGTCCGCGGCTCGACGTGCGGAAGAATAACGCACGCGGCTGGCCCACCGTCGCGCGGCGTTTATACGCTCTGCGGCCCGTAAAGGACGGGCGGATATTCCTTCATCAGAAAGCCTCGCGGGCGTCGTTATTCGTCCGCATATATCCGACTCATTCGCCGCACCGCGTTCGGCATCGCCACCGTTACCCCCGTTTTTTTTTTTACGCTTCTAATATCGCGCATACAGTTTTACACCCGCCCGATCTGGCGAGGGGACGCGCGGCGGTGGCGGCCAGGCGAGCGGGTAGCATGGGGGCAGCAGCCGGTTTCGAGCCGACGGCGGGGTAGGCGGGGGAGGGTGGACTGAAATCGAGTTAGAGACTACTCTGCATTCTTTACGACGAATCCGCAGTACGCCGGTAAATCTATATATCGAGAAAAGCGAATTTCCTGGATTTATGCTTCTAACGAGACCGATCCGTTTGCGATTTTTCATTTTTAGTACCGTTGCTATAATCATAGCTGTAACGTTACCTGTACTAAAAGCGAAATTTTCATTAATCCTTTCTCACGGTTCTATCATCGCCTCTCTTTTTAGACCATAGACTTATAAGATAGACTGCGCGGCCCTTTGTTCTCGGTGAAGCAGAAATCGAAAGCGAGAGGGCTACACGCCACACTTCTCTTGTCCTTGTCCGGCACGGCTGACGGCGGCCGGCGCGGCGCGGGTCTCCCCTCTTTTCTTCTCCCCACCAACGATTGAATAAGGACAAGAGAAGTGTGGCGTGTAGCCTCTCGCTTTCAATTTCTGCTTCACCGAGAACAAAGGGCCGCGCAGTCTATCTTATAAGTCTATGTTTTAGACCAAGTATAACGTAACAGGATATATTTAATATTACCTCGCCAGGAAGTTCTTTTCTCTCGAACTTGAAGTCTTTTTGAAATTTTTATTATCTTTTGTTAATTTTTAAGACGTCAATTAAATAACGTTTGTCGAGTTTTATAGCTGATTAAGTATTATGCTAAATATTTAATGAACGAGAAGTTCTTTTCTCAAATCTGAAGAAGTTTTTTTTTTCTTTTCGAAATTTGATTGGACATTATCTTTCGCTGATTCTTCAGTCAACAACTAACTAACGCTTGCCGATTTTTATCTGACTAAATATTATGCTGGGTTATTCTAATCTTTAAAAATCTTAGAAAATACTCTCTCGGCTTAACAAAAAATTTCGCGGAGTCATCCGCGACGCATGAAGTCGTTGGATATTTAGACGTACAGTCGACCGCCCTTAACGTAACGCTCGCTATTACCAAAATTCGAGTTAATAGCCAGTTAAGGGAGTCCGGCCGGCGGGTCTCTCGTAAGGGTCGAACGCGCGGAGGACCCGTCTCTCTTTGTAGCCTTAATTCAATTAAGACCGCCATCTTTCCCCGGCCAGCACCGTCGACGTCGCGCTCATAACTCCGTTATCGTGGCACGACTGCCCAAATTCGATCGTCAATATCGTCTTGTTGGTCTCCGGGACATGGCAGACGGTAAAACCGCGTCGACGCTGAATAATCGTCCTGCTCTTTGCATTCCCAATTACTCTGCCACGTGCCGCCGCCGGGAAAAGAAAGGGCGAAGAATTCTTTTTGGGTGCGGCTCAAATTGTTGCCAGTACGATGAATAATAATCCACCGAGCTACTCTTCCTCTCTCTCTCTCTCTCTCTCTCTCTCTCTCTCTCTCTCTCTCGCCGATGAATAGGCCGATAACAGGATAAATAGCGAAGGGAGATGTCCACATTCCCGATTCCTCCAGAGATACAGCGATATTACTAGAGCAGGCATATTTAAATAGTTCGGGCAAAGATAGCCGTTTAAGATCGCTACTATATACTCCTATATATACCTTCGGAACACAGTAAATATTTTAACGCAGTTTCTATTACAGCGATCTTACCTCTGCAACTATGGATATCTATTCTGGGTACTACTTCCCAAACTTTGTACATCGAAAAGACGTATTCGAAAAGATTCTTTCTTATTTCGGAAATAATTCAGAGATTTCGAGAACATACAGCTTCTCCCGTGCTACCTTGATAAATATTCATTATTACTTCCAAAAAAGGATTATACTCAAACACCTACCGTTTCGTCCTCACGAGTTTCCGCCGTTAGTTTTTTATCTCGCCGAATTAGCAATTCCAAAATTACGTGTGTTTGTGTGCGTGCGTGTGGACATGTGTGCTAAGAACAAGAGATCTCACGCGTGCTGGCTGTTGAGAAATGTTATTGTCCTAGACTCGGCGTAAAATATCATTCATTCGTCAACTCGCGGCGCTAATTTATTATACGGCTGTTTTCTCTCCAAGAAGAATGCCCGCGAGTAATCGACCTGCGTAATGCGGTGTGTGCCCAGGCTCATTTAGAAGATATACGATTAGAGAGCGCTCCGTTTCTACTCGTTCGTCTCGCGCCGCTATCAGGACAATCGTTATTGTGCGCAGGTGCAATAAGATCCTCGCACTTTAAATTGTGCGAGAAATGAGAAATTCAAAAAACCGCCGTCCGCGTGTCTGTAGAAGTCTCTTGACTGCCGCCACCGCCAGCAGCGTTCGTTGAACTCACTTACGCCAGCTGTAAAAGAACAAATTTACCTAACTTTTTTCACAGCGTCCGCGAAACTAAACGCTACACGCTTTTTGCATCTCTATATACGTCTCCGTGAAGGAGACCCGAGTCGAGTCTATTCGACACCTATATGTCGGTTTCGAGTCCGGTTTTTGTGATGAAAAGAACACGAAAAACAGACAAATATCAGTTCCCCATTGAATTTGAATTCTGAATGCTTGATCGGAGAAATCGCCAAGAGTTTCGCGATCGGTCGTTTTCTATTTATCTCAAAGAGTTGATCTGGAATGCATCCAGATATCGTACAGCTCTCCAGATCCGTCGGCGTTTCCATCGATCGCGCTCTCAAAAAATATCTTCCCGTTACCCACTCGTTTAAATCTCACCGTTTCACATAGGTGCAACCTACTTTCGTAGGGTACAGGTCGCGCGATTCTTTCCTAGAATGCATTGATTCCTACCGCGATACCTGCGGAAAGAGAGAGCAACCGTTCCCGTCATCGTCGTCGTCGTCGTCGTCGTTGTCGTCAACGTCGTCGTCGCCGTGCTCTCCACCTCCGCTCCGGCGGTACTAGAGTATAACGACAGAACAACCACCACCACCACCTCCGCCATCAGCAAAGCGCGGCCTCCTCTCATCATCATCAGCGGATCGCCGTTTCGGGAGGCCGATCGGTGGGCCTCGCCGGGGCCGATGCCGCGAGAGAGAGAATTCTCTCCTTCTCGGACGGCGAACAAAGCGAGACGCGCGGTCTCGCGGGAGTCCGCGAGAGTGAGAGAGGCGGTTATGAGGCGGTCTCCGGGGGCGGCGCCTGTCGGCGCGTCCGATCGGAAGGCGAGCCGCGCGATTGGCCGGCACTGCCGCGGTGCGAGGGGAACGTGAGGACGCGTGAGGTACGGCGGTGGGCGCCTCCACCCGCGCGGCGCGCAACATTGCCGTCTCCTTGCCGCGGTACGCGTCTCTCTCTCCCGCCGCCGCGCGCCGTCACCGCCGCCGCCGTTGCTGCCGCTACTCGCCCGTCACGTCGCGCCGCACCGCGTCCACACGCG